CCTCTACCCCCCCACAGCTCCTTCTGTAGTCCCTCTACCTCTATCTCTATCTCACCACTGACTCTGATCAGGGTTTCTCCTCTGTAGGGTTGTCAAAAGTATCAATACTAAAATGTTGTATCCGAGTGCGATACTCATTTGTTTATGATCATTAACAAGACGTTAGCCTTGAACTGCTATCTGTGGCAAATGGCTAATAATAACATGCTACCATTAGTCAAGTACATATCCAACTCCTCCCACATCCAAGTCGGCCATTTTGATTACATTACCCAAAAGGAAGATTCTAGGCAAGAAAATCGTAATGCCTCGTGGCAATATAGACATTAACTTAAAAATAGTGAAATTAATCTTTCAAACACTTAATTAAACTCTATCCATAATATTATGTTAAAATAGTGGATGTTAAATAGGTTTGTACAATAAGTCCAAACAACTTTAACCCAAAAATATTTATTTCTCACAATTATGAAGGCTGGAGGATTAGGGTTAGGATCAGGATTAGGGTCATTAATGTGGGCCACCATAACATCAGTAACAGGTCAGTTTGAGACCAAAGACACTAACCTGTAAAAATTCTGTTACATTTTGTGGTCTTTGTTTTCATCCTTGTGGTATCGAAAATGGTATTGAATATTTTCCTGAGTATCGGTATCGAGTTGAAAATATTAGCATCGTGACAACCCTACTCCCCTGTATAGCTTATTGTCATAGTGATGATAAATGTGATACTGTGTCTACTCTGTAAGTCGCTTTGGATAAAAGCGTCTGCCAAATGCAGAAACATAAACATAGCTGGTTCACCCTGATGGAAGCAGTAGGGCTAAGTGTCTCTTCTTCTTCTTCTTCCGTCTCAGCTTGAGGAACAAGCCCCAGCAGTCGGAGCCCAAACAGACGTGGCCCCCCACCCAGGCGGGGTACCGGCAGGCCTACGACCAGTACAGCCAGTACCAGCAGCAGTACCCCGGGTACTACCCCTCCTGGGGCTACGACCAGACCGCCGCCATGTACGGATACAACTACTCCCAGTACGACTACTCCCAGTACGCCCCCGCGCAGGTGAGCCAGCCCCACACACACACACATATACACACACATATACACACACACACACACACACCCAGACCCGCCTCCTATCATCAGCAGCCAGAGGAGCCTGTTCAGTGACAGACTGCTGCTTCCCAAGTGCCGGACCAATAGACTTAAGAACTCTTTTGTCCCCCACGCCATCAGACTGTAAACGCCTCACTGGGGGCGAGGAGGTGACACAGGACAGGGGGAAGAGAGATCACATACACTGTACTTAATCTGTATTTTTTGTATTTTTATTTATTTATTTGTATTTTTTTTTTTGCTTAATTTAATTCTAACTTGATACTTTTTGCCCTTTAAGCTGCTGGTAACCTTAATTTCCTGAAGGAGTCTTCCCAAGGGATCAATAAAGTACTGTCTAAGTCTAAGTCTAAAGCACGTTTTCCTCGTTTCAGGAAACTGAGGCAGTTCCTGAGGACGACGGACTTGAAGGTAAAACACATTTTACATTCTGTCCGTTTTAGGCTTGTCCCTTTCCGATATTTGGATTGGATCAGACGCTAATATTTGCAAAAAAAATGCGTATCGATGGCATGAGAAACTCCCGATCCAGTTGTTTTTAAAACTCCAATCCAGCAAACCGATTGAAATGATCCATTCCCTAATAGCCGTCCGGTCATTTTCCAGCACAGAGCATTAGCATTAGCATCTCCTAACCCACAGGTCTGTGTCCTAACCATTAAGTTGTTATCAGAGTAAATCCATGTTAAACATGAGTCTAACAACTAAGTAAGTAGATGTATAACTTTAAACTTTAACACATGCTCTGATAGGCTGGGATCGGATCAGAAGTACAAAAAGCTGGATCTGGACATCCCTAGTTCATTCTCCATCGACCTACTTTAGGTCTCTCTGTTCCTCTTTAGGTCTCTATGGGTCTCTCTGGTCCTCCTTAGGTCTCTCTGGGTTTCTCTGGTCCTTTTTAGGTCTCTATGGGTCTCTTTAGGTCTCTCTGGTCCTCTTTAGGTCTCTCTGGTCCTCTTTAGGTCTTTCTGGGTCTCTTTAGTTCTCTCTGGTCCTCTTTACGTCTCTAAGGGTCCTCTTTATGTCTCTCTAGTCCTCTTTAGGTCTCTCTGGGTCTCTCTGGTCCTCTTTATGTCTCTCTAGTCCTCTTTAGGTCTCTCTGGGTCTCTCTGGTCCTCTTTATGTCTCTCTAGTCCTCTTTAGGTCTCTCTGGGTCTCTCTGGTCCTCTTTATGTCTCTCTAGTCCTCTTTAGGTCTCTCTGGGTCTCTCTGGTCCTCTTTATATCTCTCTAGTCCTCTTTAGGTCTCTCTAGGTCTCTCTAGGTCTCTCTGGTCCTCTCTTGGTCTCTCTAGTCCCCACTCAGATGTAGGAGGTGGCCTCAGGTTGTCCTCCAGCCTCTGGGGTATTCCTTATGGGGTGTTACCCGTCCAGAGGCCCCCCCTCATGGGCCTCCTGTCCCTTTTGCAGAGCACAGCCTGGAGCTGGACGTG